GCCCCGCGGCGCTGGGCAGCACCCGTTGCTCCGAGGGCTTCCTTGAAGCAGCGGGCGAGCAGAAATGCCCCCTCCCGTCCGGACCTCGGGCATCGGAGTCTGTTTGTCAAGCAGAAATTGCGAAATTATTGATGTGCAGGAAGTTGGTGGTAGAGGGCCCTTCTGGAAACGGTCATTAATGCTTCTGTTCCTTTGTGTAGCATGTGTGCGGGTGAGCGGGAGGCCGAGAGAGGGGCCGGTGACTTTATTTTGGTGGTTAGGAAGTGCTGACTAAAAATACCTGTACGTTCAGTAACGTGGGAAACCGGGGGATGAGCTGGGGAGGAGGGGCCGGGGAGGAAAACAGATCGTGTGGTGCGGCTCGGGAGGACTTCAAAGCGAGGAGGAGAAACAGGATGTGCAGCGGCTTCCTGAAGGGGTATCAAAATACATTCATACAATTCGGATGCAACCCGTTTATTTCCTTTCTCACGCAGCCCATCGGCTTTTTTGAGAATGAAGCGAAATGTGCTGAATTGGGCACGGCGCCGGGATTGAGAACCGGTTGTGAAAAATCTTCTGAGGGATTAGGTTTGGTGGAGGAATGGAGTTGAGTTTACTTAAATACTGTCATGCGGTATAGCCCTGAATGTGTCTTCAGTAAACAGAAGACTAGGTCATGAAAATCGGAGGCAGCGCGTGAAGTGTGGCTGGAGGTGCTCTCGCTCCAGTGTTAGCGATGGGGAGCGATTGCCTGTGAGCAGCCAAGGCTGAATGCATGCTCACTGAGGTCTTGCCTTGTTAGCAGCTACTGCAGCAACAATACATCTCAGCTTGCCTTAAAAAAGATTACTGTTAGTTCGGGGGCTAAGGCATTAATTTCTGAAGCAGACTTATTTATTGACACCATTTTGCTTCCTGACTTTTATCATAAGGCGTTTGTCAACACTGGGCAATGCAACATTCAAGGAGTTTTACGTTTTGTGCTACTTGCACCTGGTAAATGTTTTCCATTAAGCATTAAAAGACAAAACCCAAAATGTCTCAAGACTTATGTTGCAACTAGTTTTATTGTCCTGTCTATGTGTTCTGGACTGAGTTGTATCGTAACTTTGAATATTAAGTTGCCTTGCAAAAGTAATGGTAAGCTGAGGCCTATGACCTGCTTCCTAGGGAACGCATAAAATGCTGGTTGCCAAAGATGGACCTGTAAGGGCTGTAGGAGTCCATTTGGAAATGAGTGGAAGTAATAGCTGCCATAAAAGATGTGTCTTGAAACAGTGTGTGAAAATCACTTTGTAAACCACCTTGTTTCTTCCAACAAAACAAAACCACCGTTAAAAAAAAAAAAGTTACATGAAGCTTTGCAACCCCTCAAATCCCGAGGTGATCTTTTGGCTGCTTTGCGCAGCACATACTGTTTTATTTTCACTTCTTGCTGGTATTTTACTAATGCGTTTTTTAAGGGAGAAACCCTCTGAATAAACAATAATAAACAAATGTAATAATGTAATCCCCCTTGATCTGGAGGGATTAGTGGTAGCAGACCTCACTTTGGAAAGTTGATGTTTGCAGTCTGTAACAATTCCTTGTGACATGTTTCTTAGAAGTGGAATACATTTCAGTGCCTAAGCTTTGTTGGCATTTAAAGTACTATGAGGCTTGACACTGACTCATTTTATGTGTGTTGCATGAGAGAGCGTGATAGTTTTAATGAGGTAGTGTCAGTTCTGTGTAATTCTGCATGTATAGAAAACATCTGCGGTAAGTTCTTATTTATACTGTTGTTTTACAGTACACACATAGATGGTAAAATCTAATGTTAGTGATGTTTATACAAAGCATCACAAGAGATTTAGAATTGAGGCGTGTACTTAAAGCTGGCTTAGGTAGCTGTTGCGTACCTAGCTGTGAAAGCACAGAATAGGAACACATGTGCGGTCCCTGGTACTCTCTCTGTCTCAGTGTTTGCAGCCAGTCTCTTCCTGCCTTCAGTTTTCCAGTAAGAGGCAGGATGAACTGGTCTTACCAGTTTAAGACCCCCTAATATTTTTTGAAAAAGTGGTATTGCACTTCAGCACGTTCCCATCAGAAATCCACTGAAGGTCTGTCTTTTCTTTATGACTACTCTTTTGTGTTGGTGCTTCTATTTTATGTGTCATAGTAATGGCAAAGGCGCTTTACAAAGGTATGTGGATATCGTGTAGTTTTAGGCATATCTCATAGTGTAGTGTTTTAATCTTTATAACTGGCTTCTGTTTTCATTTTATGACATACGGTAGTACATTTTTAGGTGGCAAGTGATTTTAGTTGCTTTGATTTTGGATGTGTTTACTGAAACCTGTCTTAGTGGACCACTTGGAAAATGTCTCTGTTGTCTCCTAGAGCTCATTTGACAAAATTCAGGACACATTCTTTTTCAGACTTCTTGCACTGAGTTGTTAACACCGCATGGTTATCTTGGATTATGCTGGAGTGGATTTAATTGTTGCTATATAATATGTTTAGTCCTGTGAAGTGAATACTTTAGTGTTTGTGTGCATAAACGTCTTCTAAATATCTTTGTTCCAGGTCCATGTCAGAGGGTGTACACTAACTGCACACTTTGACTTGACAGAGGATATTGTGAATAGCATTTATCTATCCCACCCCCTGCTTTTGCTTAGTTTCTGATGTGCTGCTAACAGTGAACAAGCTTTAACTTGATGTTTTCATGTAGTGTCTACGTTTAACAAATGATGTGCAGGCACAGGAGTTTGTCAGAACTGTTGAATTTGGTAGGTTGCTCCGTTGCTGTTATTACTAACTAATAAGGTTTAATAAATTTAAACTCTCCACGTTACTTTAATGTCATCCACCTGAATTCCTGTTGCTCTACCACTTGAGTTGTTACTAGCATTGCAGCTTTTCCCTTTCCTTTAGGTTTGATCTAATCTTATTTTCAAGTGAGGTTGTACTAGGTGTTTTTATAGAGAACCTAAACAGTATTTTCTAAATATTTTAAAATCCAACCCAATATGCATAATTGGCCAAAGTGTGGGGTGGTGGGGTTTTTTATTACTATTACTTTTTTTTTTTTGCTTTTTTCCCAAAGTAGCTGAGTGGCAATAAAGTTAGTTAGTTTAAAAGTCAGGTAACTAATAGCAGTTGTGAACTTCTGCCTTTTCAAAATAAAAAAGTTGATGTTTATTATTTTAGTGATGCATTTCATGGTTTCCCTGTTGAATTAGGCTACTAAACGTGTCATGTGAAAATAATTTCTGGTTTAAGTTAGTTCAGTGACTGAAACTGGTGAACCGATATGGTTATAAATAAATAAATAAGTCAGGCTGTTACTGCTTCTGTTCCATCACTTGCATGTTTCACCATTTGAACTGCAAGTTCAAGTATCATACTACATAGTTTTAAATGACTGCCTCTGTGAAAAGGCTTCAAATGCAGTTCCACAGTTAGATGTAAAATTGCTTTAATTTCTCTCTTCTTCCCAAAATAACTTTACTTGGTGTTTCTGACTAACCATTCGTACTACCTACACTTTCTAAACAAGCCCTTGGGAAACACTGGTGTACGTTTCCTCAATATACTTCTCTCACTGCTTACCTTTTTTCCTCTGCATCCTTTGAACAGTGCAACATGTGCTGTCTTCAGAATTCAGACTTGCGTACTTGATGAATGCACTGAAAATCTTAACATTCAGGCAGATATCTGGTGGTGTTCACGCTTGATTTTTATGCAACCATTATAGCCTTGGGTTTTTGAGGAAAAAGTAAGGCTTGGTGTAATCAATCAAAGACTTGGGGATTTTGGGGGTTTTTTGGTTTTGTTTTGTTTTTTTTAAGAAAATAAGCTTCTTGGAAGACTTGGACCACTATGTGGCTGAAAAGTCTGCCACAATCACAGATATTAAGATGTGTCTGGAAAGATGTGAAATCTCATGCACTGTAATTCACCTGACAAGTGCTCTGAGGTTATTTTTAACTCAGAACTGAGAATCATCCCCCTGCCCAGCCTACCAAAAACCTCAATAAATTTGTCCATGCCTTAAAGCTAAACACTTGGGCTACAAAATAAAGGGTTTTATCTCATAGAAAATCAAACCTTCTATTTCTTCTATTCCCTTGGGTAGAAGGCTTCTTTTAATACTGAATGACTGCAGTATAGTAGACATAAAAATTGTGAATTATGTAGAAAAATTTAATTTTTACTCTCTTAAGAAAACAGGAAACTAATAATTGTAATTTCCTTTCAAAGTCCACTGTACAGTGCTGATCAAGTAATGTTGTATCTTAAATATTTTATGTAAAAATAGGATGGCGAAGCTACAGAGTATTAACTAAAAGAATAAAGATTCTTATCAGGAACAACTGACACGTACAGTTCATGTATATTAATTACAAACTGCGGCATCAGAAGCTCTCTGGGGATTACTAGCCTCTGTCATGAATTTATTTTTGTATGTTCTTTCATATGTTTTAATAAAATATATTTTCTTTTTTTTTTTTTTAAGGCAATGTTCAGTCATTGATGCTTTTCTCAGTTCTTCTGCAATATCTCACTAAAGGGTAATTTTGAGTTTAGTCTCTCTTTGGAGTCTAATGGCATTAAAAACTGGTTCTGTTCATGTCTCTCAATCTATCAACATTAAGTGTGGTGTTCAAAAAGAGTATGTGTACTTCCTCCTCTCCCACACCCAAGATGATGAAAAGCTCATTGATGCTTCTGAGAATACGAGTTTTAGCTGTGGAAGTTACTTAAGTGTCTGTTCATGCTTTCCATCAGTGTACAGATCCCTGACTTGGAAAACATCATGCATGAAGTTGGGTCTCTGTTCCTGTTAAACCGTCACTCTCTCTGCTCAGATACAGTTGCTGTAGCCTTCCCAATGCCAGGCGTTACTTACTTAGCTTCCAAGACTGTAATAATCTATTTAACAAAAATAAAGGGGGGGGGGGGGGGAAATTCTGATTTTTACATCTTACCAGCACAGACAATAAAGCTTACTCCACATCTGCAGTTTTTAAAAAAGAAACATATGCATGACACTTCAAATCTAGTTTCAAGCTGCGGTCTTTGAAAGCGGGAATGATATGTTACTCAGACATAAGTAATTAAAACTCAATACCTTGATGTACTTTTTATTCTATTACTTTTTCATACTTTCTATCAAGTTCAGATAAAGTTGAGTCCATGTTTCCTTGGGAGAGGAGTTTTCAGTAGCGGGTAAGGGTGAATGCTGCTGTAACAGGTCCTGGCGAAGACCTAATGCAGAACGCAGCAAAGACATTCGGAGTTTAAGTTAACAGTTCAAGTGGAACGGGGACAGAGAGTGGCTGCTCGCTGATTAGGGGCCTCTCATATGAGAGAGAACCAGAAAAGCTTGTCTAGTTTCTTTTAGCAGAATAAAAGGTGAAAAGGGTCTGTTTGCTGTCTTCAAAGACATTCGGAGGGGAAGGAAACATCTGGGGGGGGGGTGGGGGGTGAGCGGGAAATAAGTATTGAAGCTACAGGACGGTGTAGCTGGTTTTAGCTGTAGCTACTTAAAAGTAACTGTTTCTGAAAAGGGCTGCCTGATGTCCAGTGTGTGTTACTGCGGTGGTCTCAACTCTACCCAGCAAATCTCTCTATTCCTGTGTGGGCAGTCCTCCTGTCTCATTAGAAACTTCCTTTTCTACCTGTTCTTATCCACGTTGCGTTTAGTCAGTAGGTGATTTTCTCCCTTCTACTAGACAGTTAGGAAAAAATAAAGAGTACTCATAGCTGAACCTTTGGAAATATATCAGTTGACTTAAAATCAGCTGTTCATTGCGGAAAATGAAACAAAGATTTGATGGGCACGTTCTTACTATTCAGCTTCCTTTAGCCAAACTATTTGGCTAAATAGAGAAAATACCAAGTGAACAATAGCTCAGCCAGATCATGTATTGGTCTTATGACCCAACGCTGTATCACCTCAGGCTGCGAGCTGCTCGGATTTAAGGAGCTACGCAGGGTCAAGCCTGAGATGAGACCTCTCAGGGGAAGTGCAGGTGGTGAAGGAAGTGGTGTTCATGAGTCAGTGTGTTGTCCTCTTCCGGCCGACTCTCATTCCACGTGAAGCTGGAGGTAGCAATTTCTGTATGCTATTGGATCTTACGAATTGAAAATTGATACGGAAATGAGTGCTGACTGAATGGAAAAGTAAACTTTGGACGCACATTAAGACCATAAAGTTCTTGTGCCTAATATTTTGTGGTTTTTTTCCCCTCAATATTTACAGTTGTTTTTTTTTATTTACAGATGACGCCAAACACTTAGTACCCAACAAAATGAGAGACTTTTTCTGTACCATAAATTTGGACCAAGAAGAAGTTTTTCGTACACAGGTAGTTGAAAAGTCTTTAAGGTAAGCTTAATTTTTAAATGGATATGATAAGCAAGACTGCCTCAGTTCAGAATAAAAACAAGATATGTATCAATGTGCATGTGCTTTTGCTTGTACCTCTTTAAGATGAGAGCTGACTTGTGGCAACTGCTCAGAAATGTTAGGGCAATGTATAAATCATGAGAGTAGTTGAAAGAAGACAAAATTGAGGCTTGTGAGTAGTACAGTGCTTTCAAAATGAAGCATGCTAAAACATATTTCACTATTACTTTATTCTGTTCCATTGGGCAGCACAACATTCTTTTTCTTGCCAGGTTGTTTTCAAGGGAGAGAAATCTGCTTGATACTCACGCTCCATGTTATTTCCTATTTCTGACATGCAGTTGGTCTGTATTGGTGGACTTCTGCTTCTAGTGTCTGTCTTGTAAAACCTCTTTCTAGAATGAAGGAATCGGAACTTTTCCATGGGTAAGAGTTTTGTGTGCTGTGGGATGTCCCCCTGAATAGGTCTCATTCGCTCCTGAAACTCTTGTTTTGGGAACTATAACCAGTATTCTCACAGAATGGCTTGCTTTGCCTCCCTGAGCAGCACTTAGCTGTAGATTCCCCTACTGTCTTAGAGCCTTAAAAACAATCAAACAAAAGAAGTCATGATAACATAGCTGCAGTTGTGTAGGTGCTTTTATGTCTCAAAACTCTTGAAGTTCACTGATGATCCATCCTGAAGCATTGATGCAGCTGTGTTGTTCAGAATATCTGAGTGGCAGTTTCAGTTATCTGGAGGAGACGTTAAATCTTCCTCTTAAAACCAGAAAGCCTGTTCAAACTCTTGAAAGTTTTCCTAATTCTTGTTGTTTCCAGTCGTTTTATTGTTAGTGTTTGTTCTTTGAGCAATCTCTTGGTGTTGCCAGGTGATGAACAGCATACTGCTCATATGGCAAATGTAAATAGGGAATTTTACTTTTCCAAAACATCGTTTTAAAGCCTCCTTATGCTTCCGCATGAAAAGCGAACACCACATACATGCAATCAGGAACAAGTAGTTTGCTCATACTCCTGATCTGTAACTGCTGTAGTCAGATCCAGAAAATTTTCAGAGTTTAACTGGCTGCAATTGAGACTGATTGGCAAAACAAACCCAACTGAATAATCCTTTGGAGAAGAATGTTAAAGACACTGTGTTGATAAAGCAGAAACTTAACATTTTCCCTTCAAATAGACAGTAGTTTGATGGGTAAAAGGGAACCCAGTGTACCTTTTAAAAAGAAGGACTTTGCTGTCTGATTTTTGACGTGTTGATAGTTGAAACCCTAAAGGTTACTGCTATCTTAGAAACAAGACCCGTTACATTTAACTGGTAATACAGTAATACAGGAGATTAAATTTAAATGTGCGACATATTCCTTTGTTCTTCGCTTCCTTGTTACATTTTTATTACGGTCCATTTAAGAATTATTAAATTTATATAATTAATCACCTGATAATAAAAAGTATTAATTGCATAGTAAAACGTTTGGTAAAAAAAATTGCCATAGATCATCAAAATTTTTTAAAATAGTACTGAAGTTTTCACTGAAACTGGATTAAATGAAAACAATGCCATCAGTACTTTACAAAGAAAGGAAGAAAAATCTCGTCACTATAACAAAACAACAACTTGGGGGTGTATGTCTCAGGTGTCACATATAACCCTCCTCCCCCTCAAACTGAGAATTTTTCTGTTGATATGAAATTAGTATTTCTAAGTTGAGAACACTTTATTAGGATTTAGTGTTCTGAATCCCTCTTTGCCCATAGGTGCCTTTCTGTTTCCACTGACTCCATAGGGAAGTCCTTCATCCTCTGAATTACAGCTGTGTTAAGTAGATTCACAGCATGAGTAGGGTTCCACACAAACTGATGAAATGTAATAAAATAAGTCAACTTCTATTAGCAGCAACCAGAGTTGGATGCTTGCACTTGATTACTAGTATGTATGCAGTTATGAAGCCTGACACTTGTTCCAGAAACTTAATTATACCATCTTGTTGCTTATTACTGTGTTAAAGTAGAATACCGTACTAACCTAGAGGTACTGGAAGGGAAGATGAAAGCCCTGATCTCTTATTAGTCTGAAAGCTTTATAAATTGCTTTTCAGTAAGGTGTAGAACAGTATAATTTCAGTCATAAGAACAACTTTGAATTTAATTGTTTTGTTTTATGTTATTTGCTTGCTTTTTCTTATACATGTAATTCACAAGCTGTTTTTGTTACTTTATTCTGGGTTGCAAATTTATACTAGCTGTAATCTAAATTGTATTCTATGAATATCCGCTAGTTAAATGTCTGTGGAAGTAATTGCCACTAGAATTAAAATGATCTTTGACTACAGCGATTGAAAGCTTATAAAGGAATGTATTTTTTAAATGTGCAAAACAAGAGGTTTTGGCTTCCACCAGCACTGGGACTATTGTTAGAGTGCAGATGTGAAGCAAATGAGTTTTCCAAGTTAGAAAAACATGATATAATACTGAAGTGAAAGAAGGACATTTTGACTAATGACTCAAGAAATATTTTCTGACATGGTGTGGGATTTCTGTGGGTTCTGAAAAAAGAAATTATTTTTTTTTTTCCCCTGGAAAGTTTAAAGAACATCCATGAGCCTCCTCAAATATCTACAGTCAAATATGAGGAATTGAGGAAGGGTTGTGGTATGTGTGCGTTGCATTTTTTTTTTAATTTAAACTGAATTCAGTTTCTTTTTTTCACACTGACTTTTGTGTGAATGCAGGGTTATAGCAAAAATTAATTTTCTTGTTGATGTAACTTGCTTTTATCAAATGACAGATCTAGGTGCATTGGTCAGTCTCCGTCATAGAACTGCCAGTTTAATGTAACAAGGAAGGGAAGAGCAAAGGAGTATGTCGCACATTTAAAATTAATCTCCTGTATTACTGTAATCCAGTTATTCCTGTATGACAGTCTGGTCTTCCTTTGAACAGCATTATCTTCTAATTTTGTATCCGTCACAGTCTTTAAAGTTCTTGCATCAAAGTCACAAATGAAAGTACTAAACTGACTGAATCCCTGAGGAACAGGTTGAATAAGTTCTCCATTTTAATTATTCCTCATTGGTATAACCTTTTGTACCCCTTCAGCCAGTTCTGTATCTCCCTAAGAATTTCTTTACTAATCTTTTCTATTCTCTACCTTAAATTTTCTCTCTGTGCCTCATACTTTGCTAAGGAATAATCAACAACTGATTCATAAGACAGGTACAGGGAAAAATGTACCAACATGAATAAAACAATGTGTTACTTTTTATTTATGCTTATATTATTGACCTGCTCTTTCTTGCCAAATCCAAGACTTCATGTAATGTTGAGGTCAAAATAATGATTGTTTGTGGCTGATCATTCTTGGGTGGGGGTGTGTGTGTTTTTGAAGTTTGCTCTCTTTAGCCATAGGATATGGCTGCTAAATAGGTTCTTGGAAGACTCTGCTAATAGCCTCAATCCCAGACTTAATTATCTGATTATAATTGGATGCATAGAGTTATACTGATCCAGCAAGAAAAGGGGCTTAACACTTAGTGATACACACTTGTTGATGTACATTGTAGTCTAGTGTTCCTCTTAGGATGTCCGACTGAAGCTGAGTTAGTAGCAGAGTTTCCCTTGATACCAGTGCCAGCTAGTTCACTCTTTCTGCTGTAGTATCTCTTTGTTTGTACTGGTGCAGCTATTAAGTGTGTAGCTATTCGGGAAGCCCTATCATGGAATTGACCTAAGTTTAAAATAAGCCTTTGTTTCATCTTTTTTGGTCTGAGTTCTTGTGTCAATACAATTAAAATGAGCACTGAAGGTGATAAGGAAATTGAGGCTGCTTAGGGCTGCACTGCTGCTCGTGAACTTACACCTAAGGAAAAAAAAAACATGGGGAGCTGAAAAAACCCCAAACAAATTTTTCAACTGAGAATTCTTATATTATTTCTCAGTGTAGTGCAAAGGCTAATACTGATTTGTCTGCTTTGAAGTCTATGGTAAAAGGTCTGTGTTAAAACAAGAGGAACATTTTCACTTGTGAAATTCCTCATAATGAATTCCTGCAGTTAAAGCTCTTGTTTCTAAAAATCAGTTCTAGAAATATGAAATACTGGATTTTTCACCTGTGTTCTTTCCCACTTTTTAAGTTAGTTATCAGCTCTTCTCTTATTTTTAACTTAATTAATGAACCATTGATCCTTAGACATTTGGTGTTTTTTCTGGAATTATTTTGGAGGGAAGAGAGTAGGGATGATATCCTATTCTTCCTGGTGTCCCTTTGGGTAGGTAGTAATATGAGCTGATGGTTCCAAACATAAGCATATTTGTATTAGCTTAATAAAGTATCGTAACAATGCAGTGTCAGAAGGGTACTTTACTAGGAAACAAACGAACAAAAAACCCCACCTTTGTTTCTGACTTTGGTATAACTGTCATCACAGTACTTTCCTATAGAAAGAAAGCAGAGGCTAAAACTAGTTTCATGAAGTTGAATGCCTTTCTCTGGTGATGTTAATACATTGTAATTGAAAGTATTTTAAGTCTTTAAGAATCCAGTAGTTGCAAAATAGAAGGGTTTTTTTGTGGATGCACTTGATTTTCAGAATTCACAACTTGCAGTGACACAAATAACATTGTGGTTTTGGTCAGTCTTTTGAAATACAACGTTCCAACTACTGGCTATGATTGCATCAGTAAGTACTCCTGAAATTTAATGGAAATATAAATTCCTTGAGGTACAGCACATTTTGTGGAATACGTCTAACATAGAGGAACCCAGAGTCTTCTTACATAGAAGGCTGTGCAAATGGCTGTTCAGTAGGGTGAACTGTAAACATTGTATTTGACTTCATTAGATGGAGAAATGTGGTGACCATTTCAGCATGCAGGAGAATGTGTGTATTTGAGATTAAGATTTCTCTTTTTCAGTGTTCTGTTTTATAGCTGCTAATGCTTATGGCTTCTTTTTACAGATCTGAATCTTTGAGCATCAAATTTGACACTGAAGTTAGAGCTAAACAAATGTCAGTTAGTGAAGTAATTAAATTGTGTTTCAGTGTAATTTAATCGTGTACTGAATGAAAAGGGAAACATAAAACTTGGGAATGTCTCAGGAAGTCATTTGGGGTGGGTAGAGAACCAACTAGAATAATTTCAAGACAGAAGAATAGAATTGAAATTGTGGAGGAGGCAGCATGTTTCTGCATCTGCATTCTAACTTTTTTTCTTTTTTTGAACATACATGAGGCATTATCAGGAAGTTTTAACCTGCAGTGTTATTGTATGTTCTTGTAATGAAATGGTTGTGGATGGCTTTGATGATAGATAAGTATAGTGCTAAAGGCCAAGGTCTGGGACTGCAGTAAAAGTATAGCATTTTCATGTTTGTCTTCTGTATAAATTACATAGTGTTTTTCTGGATTAACTTTCAGTCTTTCTTTTCAGCCCTTATTTTGGGGAAGAGTTTTATTTTGAGATTCCAAGAACATTCCAGTGGTTGTCCTTCTACATTTATGATAAAAGTGTTTTACAAAAAGACCTGCGTATAGGTAAGTTCTGGGATACTATCTACATGTTGCAAAACATTTGGTTATTTTTAGCATCATTATCTGTGGATAAAGATAGACTTATTAAAGTGATGCATTTTTCAAACACAGTGAGTAAACTTAAAACTAACACACTTAAATCTAAATTTTATTTTTTTTTAAAGTTTGAAAAGCAGGATTTTGTTTCCTTGCTTTATTCTGCTTACTAAAATATGGGGCTTTTTTTAGGCTAATAGGACACTTTATAGTCTCTACATTTTTTTGAAATTCTACTTGTTTTTCCTCTGCTTCTGTTTCACTGGAATATTTGAACAATTGTCACTACCCATAGGTCTTTAAAGAATGAATTGTGGAATAATTCCACAATATTTTCAATTGTGGAATAATTCTTAAAGGTATTTATAGATAGTCTTTTTCTCTGTCAGTACAACCTGTAACTTAATGACTTATAAAGCATTTTGCAGCAACTTACATAGCTTAGGTGAAAAATTACAGGAGGTGGATCTTCCTCACCCCCCTGCATAATGGCTCTATTGCAGCTGCTGTTTGGATATAGTTGCTATAAAGCTCTAACAGTCTGCTGCAGAAGAAACCTTCTCATTACTTGAATTGAGGAAGGAAATAATTTGCACCAGGATGCCAGATAATTTGATATAATAACAGCTTTCCAAAGAGCAATCAGAAGAGTAAAAGGCATCTACCTTCAGTTTGCTGTTTAAACATTCTTCAACACCGTTACTGTTCTCTCAAATCTTTATTATATTCTTTCCAGCCACAAGTGTGTTCTTTATTTTACCTAATCTTATTAGTGATATCCAAGATAACACATCATAATTAACTTAATTTGGCTTTATATAAACTGGGTTTCTGCTTTACTTATGCATCATGTTCCTTGTTTCCATAAGCTTTTCATATAGCATCATAAGCTTAAAAAAGAGTTTAAACAAAACCCAAACTTTGAATCTATTTAAATATTTGTCCTATTCAGATGAAAGTGATATTTATGCTTATTTCTCCCTGCCGCCCTCCCCCAGGAAAGGTGTCAATCAAAAAAGAAGATTTATGCAACTACACAGGAAAAGAGAACTGGTTTATGCTTCAACCCATTGATTCTAATTCAGAGGTTCAGGTAACTATTAAATTGCACACTTAGATTTTTAAAATTAAATATAGATAAGTGCATGTAATGGTAGAAATTTATATTGAGCTGCAGCAGACAGAGGTTAGCATTTGTCTAATTCTTGTGAGACAGTTGTGTCTTTCAGCTTGATTAGAGAATAATGCATATTCTTCACTTCTAAACTGGCTGTATTGTTCTTCATGATACTTAAAACTGGCAGAAGACTTGAAGTAACTGTTTTGGAAATGTCTTAATAGTATTTTGATGTCTAAAATCTTTGCAAGAGGAGCTATGTACTTGAGACTGGTAAATGATTTGGGAAACTACTGAATCTTTTTTTTTTTTTTTAGTCAGTTTTGGTGTTATCGGAAATGATGACTGATTATGTGACATGAAATGGTTAATGTCTCCAAAACTGGAGGTACTTGTGCTGTGCTCGTTTATCTTATTTAGAAATACTTTCTGCATTTGGTATCAAATAACTTGCATTTCAGATCTGTATTTTGGTCTGTGGTTCAAGTTCTACTGACAGGATTATTCTAGTAATACATAAAAATGAGATGGCTCTAGAAGTTGTAGAAATCCTCATTTTGGTTTGAGGAAGAAAACAGAACAGTATTCTTGAGAATTTCTTGGCCTTCTTGCTGTGATAAACAACTTACTAGATTTTAATAGTTTTATCATTTGCCTGAGGGCAACAGTCTTGGAGTTGACAGTGTTTGTATTTTTCTAGTAACTTGGAAGTCCCTCTGGGTAGGGAGACTCCTGTCTGCTTTTACAACAGGTGAATGTGCACGGGATTCTTAAAAAAAGGATGTTATTTTCCACAATTAATCATTTATGAGCTATAAGTTTAGTAAGCAGCTGTTGGGTATATAAAAGGGCATGCAATTTACATGAAGACAGGTTTTCAAAACATCTGAATAGCACTTTCTCTTGTGTGTTGAAAATTAGTCCTTGTCCAGTTAGTGTAGAATAGAATAGCTTAGTTGGGAGGGACCTACAGATTGACTAGTCCAACTTCAGGTTTTCCCATTCTTCTGATTCTTCCACCTAATCGCTCTGAATGTTCTAGAAAGCCCTTTTCAGAGACAAACTGAAGTGCAATTTTGGCTTTGGCTTAGATATTGTCATGCTTGCTGTGTTTTTTCTCAGTCATAAAAATGTATTGAATGAAAGATTACTTTTTGTTATAAAACTCTAAGTATGAAAACTCAATTATAATGTTCCATTAATAGAATTTAGCAATTTCTTACATATTGGAAATAAAAAAGTTTTAATTTTCCATGGCTTTGTAGCTTACAGTGGAATGTGAGCTCTTATGGATACTTTTCCATGGCTGGGATGTGTGTAAAGCACTCCTGCATGACACTTCCATTAAAGGATGACCTCTTCTGCTAAGGTGTGCTCCACATGTTAATCTTCCCTTGAGTTAGAGCATTTGGGTAGGTTTCGCTTCTCTCCTGCTTCCTTTTTCCATTAAGTTTGGGGGAGCAGAGCTGAGACCGTTCCCATTTGCCAGATTCGGCTGAAAGCTTGTTGGTTTGGATATGCCGTACCATACGGAAATGTATTCCTAGGAGATTCACAAGATTATTGGTGGGAGATGGCTGAAAATAGCAGGATCTCACATAGTGTATGTGCAGGAAAGTGCACAAATATTTATAAAGCTAGATAACAGTTCGGGGGGAAAAAAATGTTTTAAGATGTGCTCTTCTTCTTATGGCACCGTACATGTAGTTGACACTTTTTCTTTCAGTTCCCTCCATGTGTTTTCCAGAATTTATGATGGGTGCAAGGCAATAGAATGGTTTAGAAATATTTTGTTCCTTGGCTATATGCAGGACATACTGCAGTTTGCTTGGTTGGGGTTTTGGTGGTGGTTTGTTTTTTTTTTTTTTTTTTCCTTAAATCTTCATTTGTCTCAAGAAAACTACTTTCTGTGTACCAGTGACCTATTTTTCATACAGGCTAACTTGGGTATAATGAACAGCCTGTATATCGAGTACAGTAGTTGTGGAGCTGCATATTGAATATTGTGGTATACAGCTTGTAGATGTACAAAATTCATACCAAGTCCTAAGTGCTTTGGCACAGGCCGTTGTTGTCTTTACTAATAAGTGTGTCTTGGATTTTTTTTTTTTTTCTTTCTTTACAGTTCATTAGTTTTTTAAGTCTGTATGGGAAATTGTCAACTTTAGCATGGTAGGACAAATGAAAGTATCACTGGAAGACATTTGAGTTTGTTAATAACTTTCACGGTTTCTAGAAAGGCTTAAAAGTTAATTAAATGTAACATTTTGTCTTTTGTGGAATTACCAAGTATTAATTTGTTGATTCCTATAGAATAAAACAGAATTGGGAGGTGGGGAAATAAACAGACCAGTCATTTTCTAAAACCACCTTGTAGTTAATTTAGGACTTCTCTCGGGTCACAGTCCACTCCTAATGCAGAAGCTGTAGACCAGTATTTTTCTGTTCTGATTCCACAGTTCTGCACATAGAGGTAATCTGAAGTGGAGGTGATTAAAAGTTCAGCAGAGTATAAGTACTATGTGCTTGAGTTAATGTAAGTTTTTGGTGAAAGTAGTATGCTGGGTATTTCCTTTCAAGTATGTATGGGAAGAGAGTGGCCTCTCCCCAGCCATTGAAAATGTGTAAAAATTACTTTGTTTTTCTGCTGGTTACAATATTATGAATGGATATTCATCTAGTTTTCTTAGAACTTTTTCCTTTGCCTGCTGTTTCTTGAAAAGTATGCGTGAACGTGAGACTACTAGCCAAATAAAGTAGCGTTTGAAAAGTTGAGTGGAACAAACCATATTTAACTGTATCTAGCACAAACTTGTTAATATATGTATATATATTTAAAAAAACCAAAACCTTCACATTTTCTAAAGTGCAGATAGCCTCAGCATGCCAATAAAATTCTTAGGATTGCTTTGCCGCCCCCCCCCCCCCCTTTTTTTTTTTCCTTAAATCTTCATTTAGCTGGTTTGAAATTAGGTCATATTGTTAAATGTGCCCTTGATCTTTGTTATTTGTAGCAAGAAACGTTTTGTAGAGATTCGATCTATACTTGCAAAATACATTGGTAAGGTCAGTCTTTCACATGCTTCTAAGGTTTTTGAAGGTAACTTTAACATTCACTGTTCTCTTTCTTAAGATTGATAGGATTTCCATTTACTGAAGTAATGTATTCCTAATAGATTTCCATAGTGTTCATGTAGAATGTGTAAATTTGGAAAAAAATGGAGATGGAGCCTCAGACTAGCTTGTAGGTTCCTAGTGGCTCAGATCTCTAACCCTAGGAAATAAGAAAGGTCTGGGTAAAGTAAACCTCACGGGGTTATCAGAGTGGAATGGATATGCCTAGTGCTATGGAAGCATCACCCATTACATAGTGCTAGGAGCTCAGTGTGGTCGACGGTAAGATGTAGTACATTTCAGGAACGTGGTGTATGTTTGCTCTAATTTAGAACGGGAAAGCTGGAAGAAAGCCGATGGAAGCTGATAGAACCTGTATCCGCTATGTAGAGATGTTTTTGCAGTAAGCAAACAGAATTAACAATTCAGGAGGTACTAAATGTGAGAATATCATGTAATGTGTGGAGTGTTCTAGAGCCCCAGTTTTACTTTCCATTTGCCTCAAGGACTTCAGTGTACTGAAGATGCTTCTGAGTGTATAACCTGGGTTATTTTAGGGGTTTTCTTTGTTGGGTTTTTTGTTTTGTTTTTAATTCAAGTTCTCTAACTTTGGGCTTAGAATTGTTTTCTTCTACTTAAATGTTGACATAGTGTGTGTGGCATAAAGATGATATTTCTTATTCTCACAAATTCATTAGTTCAGTTGTGGTATTTGTTCTGTTGAGCTGGGGGAAGTGGAAGGAAGGGGACAGTTCAAGAGAAATACTGTAATCTAGAGTTTCTGATGTTGAGGGAGGAACTGGAAAATAACTGTTGGCATTTCTAACTCCGTTTAAGGCCCGCCACCGCCCGCAATATCTTTCCCAAGCATAGGCTACCCTTCAGATGAAAGAGTATGCATCTCCTCCTCTTGAATTTTAAGGAGAGAAGGTTTTATGAAGGAAGCTAACACTGTCGAAAGTTACTTTGTGGTACGCTTGGAACAGTAGTGTGATTTGGTATATGGAATGTGGGCACAATATATGAGTGCCTATTGGCATAAATATTGAAAATACAGTCACTAGCCCGGTTTCCACTTACGAGCTTTAGAAAACTAGAAAACTTGTATATATTATAGATAGTCATAATATTTCATAATGTGGAAATAATCAAAATATTGAAACTGTGAGGAGAAAAAAAACTCTTAAAATACAGTGTGAAAGTGCAGTTGCAGTGCTAAAAACAACTGTGTAACTAAATTGGTTTTGCAGTTCTGAAGTTTAGGTTGGTGATTTGGACACTCTAGTTTTGGCTCCTTTGTTACTATGTGAAACTTGGCCACATAATCAACCACTCCATCTTCCTCTAGTCAGTATCTGAAAATTGATTGTTAATCCATTTGTAAAGTTAAAATGTTACCTACCTAAAATGGTGCCTTTGAACAACTGTGAGATCTACAGATGAAACATACGTTCACATAAAGTGTGCTTATTTATTGTATAAAAATGGCCGATTTCTCTTTGTTTTGAACTAAAACCAATCTGTACAACCACGTTTAAAAGCCAGTTGCATATCATGTCAAAAGTTTGCGATATAGATCTGCAGATCAGCCACTTTAGGAAACTATCGTGCTGCTCTCAACAAACAAAACAAAAAAATGTACCCGGAACTCTCCATACATGTCAGCGAAATATTTACTTAGAGCCATGTTACTGTAGCCATCATGGTGCTGAGTTTTGAACCAACTGCATCTACAGATAGTTCTCAAGGGCAGAAAACTTTCTATTTTACTCCTACTGATCAGTGTAGAACACGATTGGTGTTTGGTGGTTTTTTGGTGTTTTTTTAAAGCAAAAGGAAGATGTTTAGGCCATTCACGAGGTCCGCCTACTAAAACTAGTTAAGTCAGCTATTACAATAAATACTACTAATGTTGTCTTTTAATTTGTCATTCAAAAACCTTGCCTTGTAAGGCTGTTGGCATGCTTCTCAGTGTCCTGTTTTTATCCTGTAAATCTATTTTTGTAATTGAGTTTCTCTGCTTGACAAATATTTTCTTAATGTACCTGTGTTCCAATCCATGTAGTAACAGTTTGCAAAACACTTGGCAGGCATCCCAAAATAGTTATGTTTAAAACTTCCTTATAAAAGAAACTTCACTTCTCCTCCCATGTGACGTACAGAGAGAGAAACACAGCCCTTGCCCAAGGGGATTTACAATAAAAACATTTCAGTTCTATGTCAAAACATAAGTGCTATAGAAATGTGTGCAAGGTGCAAGGTCAGCTAAAGGTTTTATTTCCATTTTAGTGTTGTACAGCAAAACTGTAGTTCAAATTATAGCTTGCTTCCTTTGCCACACTTCAAAATTACCTTTCAGGTCCCTTCCCTGAATTGTAATTGTGGATTACAACTGTAATCAGTGTCATCTGATGTTCCATTTAGCAAATAGACAAATTCTAAGAATACGAAGGAAAGCATGGTTTAGAGGAAAGACTGTCAGTGTGTGGTTATCTTGGATGTGAAAACCAGCATAAATAGACAGGCACTGAAGGGAGAAGTAGTGTTAAGGCAATGTTCAGATGTTTGGGGCAAGGTTATAGTACCAAATTTTGGTCATCCCAAGAAAGCTGAGTGTTATGGTTTGGAGTTTTTGGAGCCTTTTATTTAGAGGATAGAACAGGCTGGCCCTTGCTGAGTTCTGCAGTTAATCCATGCTATGTCATCACTTATGGATCCTTCTTCTTTATACGTCCTACCATATCAGAAAAAAGGAGGAAGCCATGTTTAGCAGACCAGGTTTAGCAGTTATTGCCACCCTTTCCTCTTCTTTGTTGTGTTTACTGTTCCATGAGTACATCAGCAGACTTCATAAAATAGTTGAAAGCTGCACTGGGATGCATAATAAATTTCTAAATGGTCTTCAGTCTGGTGGGATGGCCAGGTTTTCACAGCTGGATATTAAATGTTGCTGGTTACAGCTACTGCGTACTATTCTACTATTCTGAATATACCTAACTGCCTTTAGAGTCCAAGGTCATTTTAGAACTTTCTCCTGAAATGCTCAGAAATTCACAGTCTGTTTGCTCAAGTGTTCATCCCATGCTTAGGACAAAAAAAGCTGAGAGGGACTTTTGCTCTTGGTACTTCCTCATGCTGGAAGAAATATTTTTTGTGTGTGTTAAATCTGTGGAGGCTTGACCAGTTCATGTGCTGTCTGCGGTTGAGGATAATGCTTCTCTTTATCATAGTCTACTTGCAGGTTACATGCTTTAGAATAGATGTTTGCTTGAAGTTGATATATTGGAATTACCTTAAATGGCTTCTAACTGTAAACTATATTATTGTTCTAATTGCTACTTTCAAAATAAAGGCTTTTAAAACTATTTGTGTTTCTCTTGTTTTTTCAGGGAAAAGTTCACCTTGAATTAAAACTGAATGAACTGATAACAGATAATGGATCTGTGTGCCAGCAACTAGTAGTACAGTAAGAAAATATGTTAATCCTTGAATATTTAGTTGTTTGTTAGAACATTGTGATTTGTCTCTCTTAATACTGAATGTCTGCACATCCTGGCAACAATAACATTTTTCTTTTTATATTACTTACCTTGGAGCCTGCCTTGTTGAGGCATTGGGTATATGCCTAGGGAATTCCTGCAGAAGTTTTTCACAACTCCTCATCTCTGTTGCTCCCAAATCACTCAGAGCACTCGCTATTAGGACTCAGAATGGCTATCTGGTATCACTAGTTCAGTGTCTTGTAATTCCAGTTGAATTGGGTCTGGTGAGAAAGCTAGGAATGCCCACTGCAGCTGACGGCAAGAACTTGCAGTACTGCTCTTACTGACAGAATTGAGCTGCTAGTGGTGTTGTTGGGAATGGTGTGAAACTTGTTCAGTAGTAATATTTTGGTCTGGTATGTGAAAATCCACTTCTAGTTTTGCTTCAGAATTACTTTCTCATGCTTAACCATGATAAGGAATGTTTATAGAAAAAGAGCGCGGGAATTGCCGTTTCAGAGCAGCATGTTGCCACGTTTCAGTAAAATTTCTTAGCAACAATTTAAGGAGTTTTCGCTACCAAAATTAATTTTGACCCCAAAGTGTAAAGACATTACGGCATGTCAAAGAGCCTCAGAGAAACAGTAAGGTTTCCGTATATGTTATTTCAAAAAAGACAAATTTCACCAATATTAAAGAAGAAAGCACGGGATGAGACCTATTGGAAGATACTAACTAGTCTATATTCATGTGTTGTTACTCTTAGAGCTGTATTTGCTAATGATCCTTTGTGATGGCTTTGAGAGGCTGAATATACAGGTTAGAGATATTAGTCACAGAAGACCAAAATTCCATGGGTACTGGTCATTCTGTTTCTTTTTATTCATTATTAAGCAATATATGTAAGGCCAGAAATTGATAAGGCGCCAATACAAACACAGCTATATGAAAATGTTTTGACACTCTCATAGAAAGTTGATCTGATAAGGGCATACTAGAAGATACAGGTTTCTCTAGAAACTAATCCTATCCTTTATTATGGAAGAAGCCTGACAGCCTTCTACGTTACTTGCTCTGGGAGACTGTTTGCTTTCATTGAAAAGAGCAGTGGAAGCCAATGGCTTGCAGAGGCTTAGTAGGATTTACAACACTCTCTTGTAACTTCTTTACAATCTCAGCATGAGTAAGGTTCAGGAGAACAAGCCAGTCTTACTGCAGTTTTTTTTTATTTTTGGTGCTTCAGAAAGAAAGGCAGGCTTTTCTGCACTTGTCTCCTAACAGGTTGTGGGATAGGCCATGTGAAGGAAAGGGTATGGACAAGGGATATATAAAGACTAAGGGAAAGTTAAGATTAAAAACTCGAAACGTAGTGAGCTGCTTTAATTTTGCTTTCCAACATTGTTCATTAATTTATATATTAATTCAGAGAGTGAGGTTTTTGGTTTTTTTAAAATCTTCTCTGAGAATTTAGTATGAAAGAACGGGTTGTATTGCGAAACCGTGAGGGGAGGAAATGGTGTGTGGTCTTCCATTTGTCTCAGTGACTTCATGTTCAGATCATGAGGGGAGCAGGGAGAGACCATTCCACTGCCAGTTTTGCGAATGTGATTTTTATTAGGAAGTTTAAATTGCATTCTTTCTGTCTTAGTCATCTATCTAAACCAAGGTGACTAGTGTAGTTGGAGCAAGACCTAGCAAAACAATCTCTCTGCTTTTCTGTTACTTGGTATGAAAGGGGAAGCTCGTTCTGTGATAGAACTAAACCAGTGAAACTGGTAATGCTTTAGTGGCTATTGTAGGCTGATAATTCAGGTAAGATATGGAAACTTGCTGTATATCAATGTATATTTATAACTTAAAGATAATTCTGAATGTATTTCTACTTGTATAGTGGGTGGCAGCTTTGTTCTTTGGGAGTTCTGCTGATCTTATTTTTCTATCCCCCTTGCAGCACAAGGCAGAATTAGAACAACTTTTCGCCCTTGGACTGTTCACCAGCAAAAACTAGCTGAAGCTTTATGACTTTGTTTTATTCCCAGCTTAACTTTCTGATAGAATTTTTTTTAATTTATTTTTTTATATATTCATACGCTTTAGTCCAAGTTAATTTTTTTTGTTTTTTCAATTTTTAAAACATGTTTGGATTCTTAGTGTGATGAAGAAAAGTTGCTTTAGAAAGTTACTGTTGCAGATTGCAGTTTTGAGTAGGAAGTGGGTTACTCACTGTGCCCTCTCTTAGGATCTCTTTATGACAGAGATAAATGATCAAAAGGAAGCCAGGGTTCTCTCGTGGTTGCTGTACTCACCCACTCACTGACACGTGGGAGAGGATTGTGCGTTAAACACTGCAGTATTACATCAGTACTTTTGTCTTCATCTGAGATTATGAAATGCACTAGAGTTCCTTAAAATAAAAATGTTAGTAGTATTTTATTACACATGCTGACAGCCTTGAAATAATGGGTTGTATAAGAAATATATTGTACATAAATATATTTTTGCATGTGTATGTGAGAGCAGGAGAAATAAGAAATCTCTCACTGGACATAGTATTGTAGATGTGGATGTGAGGGCATTTTTGAGACCCTTTAGATCTTGAAGCATGAGGAACTTAGACACTACGTGGGAGATTCTTTGATGGAAAATTTCAACTCTTTAGAATTCTACTTATTTTTTAAATTTCTGAGGATAATTAGTCAGTATAACTTATTGCTATGTTTTATTAGTCACCAGGCCCTGAGAAGTCATTGTATTAGTAACTCCTTCAGAAAAGCTGAAAGATAAGAAGCAGCAGAGCTGTGTGTGAGTAAAAAAAGACAAAGAGTGGGCATATATGTATATTTCTGTCCCTGCTGCTTCTCATCTGTCCAAAACTGAAAAAGCATTGGCCAAAGAAAAAAAAACTGTGGAAAAAATAATTCTTAAAATACAGGCTATAATACTTGCCTTTCAGAGCCATGTTTTACTTCATGTATCTCAATGGAATGAGACAGCGAAGCTTTTAAACCTTCACCAGTTACATTTTTTTGTGGGATAAGAGTATTCTAGATACTTGTGCTGGCTTCTGTGTGTAGGTGAGTTTCTAATGGATTTCTACAATGTATTCCCTGAGAGTCCAGAAGTTCTACAAAGCTGAAAAATAGTAGCTATAACTTTCGCAGCACAAGACTAAAGGTCGTGTTAAGCACACAGACAATACCAAGTAATTCAAGGGCTGTGATTCCGAGCATTATCTGGAGTCCCCTGTCACCTTTTTGTTTGTGGATGAGCCAAAGAGGTGGGATTAGACCTGAGACTGAGAGATGGATTCATATTATTTTGGTTCTATATATGTGGTTATAGGAGCTTTTTTTGCTGGTCTTCTAGATGGGCTTTATGATGAGGATTGATTTAAAAACTGAAGGAAACTCCAGTAGGAAGCAGTTTTTAAGAGTTAAGAATTTGGACAACAGAGCTGCCGCTGATGTTAGCCTCTTACAGCTAATGTGGGATGGAGGAAAACTTCATTTCTCATGCTAGTGTGTACAGTAAAACCATCTTTTCCAAACGAAGTTTTTGGGAAAAGAACATGTGATTTTAGAAAGATAAGTGTTGCTACCTATGATGAATGGATGGTCAGTTGTCACATAATGAAACCAGGAATGCAACTCCTCATGTTTCTTTCTTTTTGTCCTCTATCCCCCTGCCCGCCCCCTTCTGTTTTTGTTTTGAATTTAGATCCTTATTTAGGGCTCTATTCCCCAACTTTATGTAAGGGAAGTAAGCTTGGGGAAGGATAAATATTAATGTATCACAAACTGTGTATCAGCAAAGCTGTGGATAACAGTCAAAAAAACCCCTCACTTCTTAAAAACTGGGAGTTTCCTCCTTTTGCTCAAGTTGACAAAAAGTGGTCACATACAAGATGTACAACTGACTGATCTGGTCTTACTTGATGCCGGGGGAGGGTGGGAAATGGTGGCCAGTTTTCTTAAGGTGGGACTTTCTGAAGCCAGCTAGGGCTTTCAGGTTGTATAAGCATTCTAGAAACATGATATTGAAATACGTTTTTCCCTGGAGAAAGTCAAATTAAGACTTGTAGTTGCTTATCTTAGATCAATTAAACCCTTACACTTTTTTTTTGAAATAAAAGCATAAAGTTCATCTTCCTTTGGTGAAGGGCTATCATAGAGACCACTTACAGTGAGCTAAGCCCTGTTTTTACAATTAATTCTTGTACTAATGGGAAACTTGCTGTTAAACTTCATGCAGGTACACCCACAGACCCTTTCTGAATTAAAATTTTGTTTTGTCTCCGATTCTAAGTTGTTTCCTTCTCTAATGTGTGAATGAGGAGGGGAAAAAGATAATGCAATAGATTAACTGCTGACTCAGTGTGGGCTCTTTTTTTCAAAACCGCAATGGCATGTATAGTAGCACATTTCAAAAATACGTGCTTGCAGCTCTCCTTTCTGGGAGTCTGTAAAAACAAGTTTGCGTGACCATTGTTTGCATATTTGCTGCTGCTCAAACAGATGATACTTGAACGGTTTCTTGCCAAATTAGGTTATTGGATGGTAGTACTTGCCTTCTCGATGTTTGACATGACTTCAACTCTGAAACAAACAGTTCTATGTGTTTACAGTGCAAATACTTGAAAGCCCAGAAATGGCTTATCACAGCTGGATTTTGTCTTTTTTGCACTTTTCTAAATAAATCATGCACTATACTATCTTAAATTCACCTGTCAGTTTGTTACTGTCCTGTTTACACTTTATCTGCTCACATGAGCTTGTTCTAGGGAACATAGCAATTCTTATGAAGCATGCAAATCCTAATGGCTGCAGTTATTCAATTCTACACTTGGAGGACTTCAGTTGATTTGCATAATGGAGGTAGAGTTCGTCAGTCATTGAGGGGGTTTATTGCAGGCTGTGTCTTTTTAAGGACTTATTTTCATCTTACAAGCTGAATATATGCCAGTTGTATCTGAAAGGCTCCTATTTCCTGTATGAAACTTGTCTTGCAGAACAAACTACTGAGATGTGAAGCAAGAATTAATGTAAACTGAAAGATCCCTTACGCTGCACCGTAACTGATCAGTAGTTTGAGAAAAGAACAAAAGACCTTCTGTTAGCTATTGCTTAGACTTTATGTAAAGATGTATAGTTAAAAATACAAATTAAAAGGCTTTTTAAGTTCCTGTCTAGTTCTTCAAGCTCTATGCATTTATGCCCTTAGAATGAAAATTGCTTGTGCCAGCCTAGATAGTTGAAGCTATTTGTCAAAGCTGAAATGTTTACCATATGATGGAAATACATTCATATTCTGACAAGCATAATAAATATATTTTTAGGGTTATTTTCTTTTTTGATTGGTTGAAGTGTTTGGGTTTGTTGTGGTTGGGTTTGGTGGGATTTTTTTTTTCCCCTGCTGTAGAAGATTGCAGTTTTAGCATTGTGCCTGATTCTTTGGGGAAGGGCAGTATTCCTGTGAGATCTGCTAGCTGTAAACTTGCTGAGGTTGTACTTTTCCATTTCTGTTAGGTCTGCTCTAATTAAGCCACTTCAAATATCTTCGAAAATTGTTAGACATGTTTACTGGAGGGTTTTTGTTTAGTAGCTTAAAGCTGTCTGCGATAATTTAGTCTCGTGTATTCAGTCCCTAGGGAGCAACAATCCAGTTCGATAGTGCTGAGTTGATTTAATGGCTTCCTACCCTTAACGGCTACTTGCCTTGCACTGCCTCTGGAGCTTGTGAGATCTTCTGCATGCCTAGGTTAATTTAGGTTGCCAAACTGACGGAACACTATCTTGAAACCTAAATAGCTTTCGGTAAGGCTAGTAAACAGAATCACCGTTGGTGATAGATGCAAGGCAGGAGTGTAAGAGGAGGAGGATCCACCATTTCGGTGCAGTTCAGTTGACTTCGCAGTGCTGTCAGGTAACGTGTCTAAAGCAGGCTCCAGGCAGTAACTGGAGATTTAAGGGATGGTTATGACTGGCGAGCTTAGAGGGAGAGATGGAAGGGGGAGGAGATGAGATAAATTTGGAATAAATTCTTGAGCCTGATGAGTCTGAAAAGGAAAGATTTGGGCATATTAGGAGTTGGTGGTCAGGGGGGCTGTGGAATATTGTTTGGTTTTTGAGATGTTGGAACAGGGTAGGCTGTCGAAGCTAGGTAGACCTTACTTGCTGGCACAGAATTGGGACTTGGGCAGGCGATGAAAAGGAAATGCTAGAGCTGCCTACACAGGGAGACTGACTGGAGCATGAAATCAGCTTGAAGTGACAGATCTATGTGATGAATCTGGAGATTCTAGTTCTGCTGCAAGCTGCGTAGTTGTCAGTAAAATGTTTTTCAGCTTGCAAGAAATCACAAACAAACCTCCCCTTAGTTTGTGTACATTGTGGTCAAGCTGTAAGAAGACAGGGGAGGCCAGAACAAGCTGTTTCTGTAACCAGAAGTAGGTCATTGTGATCAGTTTTTGTTTATATGATAATACACATTTTCCCCCAGGATCACTATGACAAGTATGCAGGTCATTCATACAGTGATCAGGAAGGGAGTGAGAA